TTTATCATCTTGCCTTAACTTACAATGGCTGAATGAAAAACCGGCTTTAACATTTTTGAAAGGAAACATAAGTGAGCTAAAAAGTGCTTATATATTTGTCTGAATAATTCCTCTAACCTGGTTATATGTACCTTCAGAAATATTGTGCTTTAGGTTTAAAAGTATCTAACGGGAAAATTGTTCCAATTATTCATTGAGATGTCGTGCACCACAAACTGACCCCCCTCCCCACGAACCAAACATGCACCAAGGCCAACTAGTCCAGCACACCCCCTCCCCCACACCAAAAACATGCATCAGAGCACCACCTGCAAACCCCCCACCCCGCCTTAGGCAGCAAGATATCAAAGGACGCCCCTGGTAATACCTGTATGTGTTGGCTATTTTCACATTTCTAAATTATAAAAAAAAAAGATTTACTTTAAGCATTCATTTATTTACATTGCATTATGCATTTATTTATTATATAGCACCAACAATTAACATAGTGCTTTACATACTGTACATTCACATTAGTCCCTGTCCTCAAGGAGCTGGAAATCTAAGTTCCCTATCTCACATACACACAACATTTAGACGGTGGGCAATCAACCAATCAACCAACCAGCACAGGGAGACCATGCAAATTCAATGCAGATAGCGTCCTGGCCCGGATTAAAACCAAGGACCCCTGTGCTGCAAGTCAGCAGTGCTAACCACTGAGTCACTGTGCTGCACACTATTGTACATAATTACAGCTTGGTTGCAGACTGACATATCTAATTATTGTAGTCTGGAGAGAATAACTCACAAGCATATGTTTTGCACAAATTAAATCATCACCCTAAAATGCCCTCAGATTTTCTTGTTACACATTACCCTTAATCATAGCTCCTTATGGTCAGAGAGAACATAAACAATTATGATATAGGGCAATGTGTAACAAGAAAAACGTCTTGTGAAAAGAAGAGGGAGAGAGGAGAGAGAGAGAGAGAACATACAGAGAAAACAACATAAAGCAAATAAAGACAGAAGGGAGAGAAAGAAAGGAGAGTGTGAAAAATTAAGAACAGAAAATATAAGACATGAAGAGAGTGAGAGGGAGCATAAAAGATGAAGAGATAGGAAGTGCAGGGGATGGATACATGAAACAAGAGACACAAGATCAAGGGAGAGAGAGAGAGAGAATGGAGAGTTATTGGGGAGAAAGTGAGACAATGGAGCTAGAGGGGGAGAGAGAGAGAGAGAGAATGGAGAGCTAGAGAGAAAGAGAATGGAGAGCTGGAGGGGGAGAGAAAGAGAGAGAACAGAAAGCCAGAGTGGGAGGAAGAATGGAGAGCTAGAGGGGAAGAGAGAGAGAGAAAATGGAGAGCTACAGTGTGAGAGAGGATAGCTAGAGGGGGGAGAGAGAATGAGAGCTATAGGGGAAGAAAGTGAGACAATGGAGGGTTAGAGGGGGAGAGAGAGAGAGAACAGAGAGCCAGAGTGGGAGGGAGAATGGAGACAGAGAGGGGAAGAGAGAGAGAGAGAGAAAATGGAGAGCTACAGAGAGAGATAGAGGGGAGAGAGAGAGAGAGTGAGATAGAATGGAAAGCCAGAGAGGGAGAGAGAGAGAAAGGGAAAGAATGGAGAGCTAGGGGGGAGAGAGAGAGAAAGGGAAAGAAGGGAGAGCTAGAGGGGGAGAGAGAGACAATAGGAAGATGAAAACAAATTGAAACGTGAAGTAAAAGTACATAGGGTAAACGCCGCTATGTGGTTTTTGAGAGGACATCTACAAAGTACTCATATTTCCTTGATCAGCCCTCTCACCTAGTATTCTTGCGGCTGTCTCTCATGGGCACTGGGTGAATGTCCTCTTTCTCCTGTAGGTGATGGTGGTGTTGATGATGATGTTCCTTCTGCGGATGGAACCCGTTGAGGACAGCCCCTGGCCAGAGACTAGTTAGAAGAAGCAGTTTAATAATGAGGACCATTTCTCTGGAAGCACAGCAGTGTTCTTTTCCCCTGGCTCCTCAGAGAACACTCATCTCTTTATCCTTGTAGTTGTGTCACTCTGCCATTGTGACATGAACCATTCCTGGGAGAATGTAGCAAGCACATAGCCAGTGCTGAATATTATCCTGATTTATCCAGTCTAATACAACCTGTATATATCCAGGCTTTCTTCTCTTAAATATACACAGCGATACATCATCTGGTCTTCGTATCAGGAATATCTAATTTCTGTGAGGTAACCTAACCAAGGAAACTGATTTTCAGGTCGGGGGGGGGCATTATTCGGTCCACTTTTCCTCCTTCTGTAGCCCTACATAAGCTCAACATGAAGCTTACCACCCACACAGTACATTCTCATACACACTCCAGCATGGAAAAGAGTGATGTCGGCATTTAATCTCTTTAATCCTGCACACGCCATTAAAAAAAAAAAAACTTCAATACACTACAAAATCTGGTCTTATTTTGTGGAGGTCATGGGATTTAATCTAAGCTATGCATCTTGAGACTCATTTTTCAAACGGTTATTTAATGAAATACATTATACGGGGTTCTGGCCGTAGCTTGGATTCCCTAAGTGTCTTAGAAAAATTGCCTCATTAAAAGATTGCTAAATGGATTAACACATGGCAACAAATCTCCTCATATAGTCTTTTTTTTTTATTACTTTTGATTCGTTTTCAAGAATAAACATTACAAAATACAGAAAATCTTTTCTTGATTTTTTGTGTGACTTTAGTTGTGTTTTTCCCCTTTGACAACCTACACATCATGGCAATTAAAGGGTTATAACAAGCTCACAGTTGCAATTTTAAAATTGTCCAGCTGACTTTTACTCGATGTGACCTTGGTGTCTGTAAAGCCACCCAGTCAATGCTACAGAGTGACGATGTGGGCCCTCGCGCCAAATGAAAATTGTATCAGAATACTGAGTGAAGGAAGATTGGTGAATATTTGTTCCCCAATGCCCCCTCTGTGCATTAAGTCCAGAACTCCTCGGCTTGGTAAGAAGGGGGGAGGAGAACCAAGACTTCCTTTTGGTGGTATTTGTTGGGAATATAGGCATAAGCTTTACATCCAAACACTCTGATGTGGCCTTAGGCTAGACTTCGATCCATGACACATTTCAAATGGGGTGCTTGCAACGGCTTTTGTTGACTTGCAGTGTTCTGTTTAGTGTCTGGGCCCATAAATTGTTGGTTATGTGTTTATATGAAACATTGAGATCTTGAGGAATGCTGAATAAAGTTTTACTTGCTTAGAAGAATATTACATCTGAATACAGCATTGTGAGGAAAACATATAGATAGAAAAATATAGCAGCTTCCTGTGTATCATAGATAAGCATGCACATAGAGAGTAACATTGCACTACAGCGCCATCTACAGCTCAAAAGACATATCAGTATATGATGTTGCATTTCCAAAGTATTGCTCTCCAAGAATTGTTCAACTTTGTATTTATTTTAACAGCTAAAACATGTAAAAAAAAAAAGGCAAAAATATGCTTTTCTTTCAGCTTTACATTAGACACATTGAAGGTAATTTATTAAAACTGGAGCAGAAAAAAATCTGGAGCAGCTGTGCACGGCAACCAATCAGCTTCTCTCTTTCAAGAGATACCGGTGTTCTGTCGAGAACGGTGACCTAGTCAAATTTGCCGACCTCAGCATCTGCGCTTACACACAGACCAATATTATCGAGGGAAACCGGGATTTATTCACAAAGTATTTCGTTTAAATCGTTAATTGTGACCGATAATATTCTGTCCATCATTTCCTGCCACCCATCATATCATTAACGGTCACAATTAACCATTACAAACAATTACTTTGTAAATAAATGCCGGTTTCCTCGTTAATCCCGTCTGTACATAAACACAGATACTGGGTCAGCGTTCTCGACAGAACACCTGTTAACCATGCAGTGCCGTGGGGTTGGGGGGCCCCTCATGGTTTCTTGCACTGGGCCCCTGAAGGTTCTAGTTACGCCTCTGGCCTGTGTGTTTGTGGAGACACACACAGCTTACTAGCACACACAAGGGTGGCTCCAGAGGACCCTCCAAGGGAAAGGAGCCACCCTAAAACCGGATATCAGGACCAGAGCTCAGGGGAACAGCTGATTCTGCAGGAAGATAACATTTTAAACATTAAGAAGCAGCATCCATTGTAAGTGATTTAATCAGCATTTGAAATAGTATAGAAATGTTTTGACTTTAGTTTCACTTTAGATGCTAAGACTTCAAAAAAGAATACAAATCTAGAAAAGACCCTTTTTTTCATCTGAATTGAAAGCTCCAAGCTCACTCCCGTGATGGACTATAATTTCAATACAAATTAGTAGCCCCCCTCCAGAGTTTAATTACGTGAATCCCTTATTTGCATGAATAATGTATAATGTTCCAGTAGTATGGAGCAAGAAAGGGGTGTGTGATCGTGCACCTATTTGCCTGCTAATCAGAAGCCTCCATTGAGAGTCACACCTGAAATGGCCACTCTGCTGCACAATATTTTTTAGCGTGCCTGCTGCCCCCTTTCCAGCCAGAGTGTCACAGGTTGCTTACAGCCGGGCCGTATACATCTTCCCACCCAGCCCATTGCAACCAGTGACATCTTTAGTTGTCAGGAACTGGATGGGACGCTGGCCAGAGCTGGAGCTGGGCGGATGATGCAGAACCCCCCCTTAGCATGCACCACCAGCACCCTAATCCCCCCACCTCAGGTGCCGAAAAGGCTAGGGACACCGCTGCTCTGACACCTTAAATAAGGACTTATTTTATTAAAATGAACAAACAAGATTACAGTTTCAGCAAAATGCAAATAACTGTAAAGTGCAGCAATTCAAGTGTGCAATCAGGGTACCTTATGAATGGTGTGGATGGAAACATATTTGTGGTAATGTATTAAACTGGAGCAGACAGAATCTGAAGCGGTTGCCCATAATAACCAATCAGCTTCTCTCTTCAGTTTGTTTAGTTAGGCTTTGAAATTGAAAGAAAGAAGCTGATTGCCATGCACAGCTGCTCCACTTCTGATGAATTCCCTATATATATATATATAATGGCCAGTTGGCATCTAAACCAGGAGATCAGGAGCAATCAAACACATGATACAGGGAAAACATATCCACATTGATCATTTTGTGCTTTGATTGCAGTTTTTTTGCTATGGAGTATCCCTTGAACCTCCAGCTTTTCTTATTGCTCTGCATATACCAATGTCTGTCCCCCTGCTGCTGTATGAAGTACAGACCTAACATAGCGAATACTGAAGTTTTACATGCCAGGGGCTTGTGCAGTCCGGAAAACCAAGATTACACTTAATCTCCTGCAGCAGCAACAACAACAGATGATCTCAGAAATCCCTATTCTAAAATCAAGATGTTACCATGACAGAGGCACAGGAATGATGTGACTGCAATCATGTCACTTCATACACGTCCTGGCATGTTAGTGGTCGTATTTATCAAGAAAAGCTTTTACATAACGATCAGCAACAGATACATTACACAGAATCAGGTTTTGTGGTTGCTTATATCACAACCAGCCCAAACCAAGCAAAATGGATTATTTAGAAAGGAAGAGAGAAGTGCAATGCATAGACAGTTTAGTTATGGTGTGTCACTGCGCCTTCCAGAAGACTGAGGAGCCAGGCACACTACCACCAAAAGGGGGCGCTCAAGTGTGGTCTATACACAATGGGGATTTACAAAGTGGAGTGATTTACTTTAGAGGTAATAAGGCAGACATCGTTGCAATGCTGACTTACTTTAGTGGTGTCATTCTGATCCTGGCACTGACCTAGAACAAGCAATCAGTCAGTGAAGTCTGAACTTCTATCAAACATGTTATTCAGGTTTAGAGAATTTAAAGGGATGTGTGAGGGTAGCTGCTAGTGGTGTAATACTGCTAGTGGTGTATTTTGATGTTGTGCTCCCCTAGGCAAGACTAAACTCCCTCAATATAAACGTGCCCCACCCCATCCTGTTTAGGACATTTTGCACAACCTGTCAGTCACTGGATACAGCGCACATGGGGTCTCAGGAGAGCTGTGTGGGGTCTATGGTGGGCTCTGTCGGGTCTCAGGAGGGCTGTGCAGTGTCCCTTTCCCTGCATGCATGTGCTGCTCCCCTTACCTGCAGCTCGAAGTGCCATCAGTACCAACAGGCTACATTGCAGTCCCCAGCCTGCTTCTGGAACATCCCGCCATCAGATCACATGCTATGGCCAGCCCCAAGCCACCCGCTGCTTATCCTCCACCTCCTGTACAAAGCCAGCTGGACCACATCTCACTAGGCCCTCCCCTCTACCGGGTAGCTCTCTAATTAGGCAGCCACTCTTAGGGCCTTGCGGATGCCTAGTTTGCCTCACTAGGCAGCCGTTGCTGCCCGATTCTGTGCCACCCAGCTTCGGCCCACTGAGCAAGTGCCCAGTATGCCCAAAGGCAAGTCCGGCCTTGTCCACCTCATTGGTTTGGGGCAGCGTTTTCTGCCGCCCCCCTGGAAAGTGCTGCCCTAGGCAAATGCCTAGTTTAGGTAGATACACCCCTGAATACTGCTATCGCTGACATGGTTTGCATTGCTGTAATGAGCATGTTACAGAAACACGCTTTATGTGCATTTCGTAAATTGCAGTGCCATTCTTTTTCATTAGAACTCCAATGCTTTGACGTAACATGGTTCCATGCAGCACACTACAGTGCATAGTGGTGTGCTGCCTCGAGAAAAACGTCCGTACTTTTGTCCTCTGCCATGGTATTTCCTTCTGTGCAGTGAGCGGAACTTATCAAAACTGGAGCAGACAAATTCTGGAGCAGCTGTGCATGGCAACCAATCAGCTTCTCCGTTCTGTTGAGATTTGAAAATGAAAGAGATGCTGATTGGTTGCCATGCACAGCTGCACCAGATTTGGTCTGCTCCAGTTTTGGTAAGTTCCCCCTATTGTATTTTCTATACAGTGTTTAACAAGCTCTGGGAGGGCAACATATGGCCAGAAAAATTAAAGAACAACATTAACCCTTACAATGGGGCTCCTCCCACACTGCAAAGGTCAACTACTAATTTCGCTCTGGGGTGTAAAATAAATGATATACTCACCTGAACCCAGGACCCACCTGGCTGCTAGACCGGTCCCTGCAGCCTCTCTTACCCTCACTCTGGTGCTCTAAGAACCCACGACTCATCCCGTCCAATACAGTGTATTGGACGTGAGGTTGCCAAGGGACATTGTCACCAGAGAAAAGGAGGCGAGTGGCTTATTTTATACCCCAGACCAAAATGAGCAGTTGACCCTTGCAGTGCAGGGGTAGCCCCGCTTCAGGGGTTAATGTTGTTTCTGACAGAAGTTCTTCTTTAATCAAATGGCATGGGGTCTACATTGTAAGCCTGGTCCTTCACGCTGCACTTTTTTGACAATTGAGACTTGCTCTTTATCACAGGAGCAGTCACTGCTTGGTTAAATGGAGCGTCTGAACAGGGATCGGAACACAGTTTAGAAGCTTAAATTGATAAATACAATGTAGCATGATCATTGCATTATGTTTAATATGCAGATCAAAGGGCTGGCTGGCTGCCTTTAATCTGCACGATGTCAGTTAAAAGTTATAGAAAACATAAATATTATTTGTTAATTTTTTGCTATTTTTTGTATTTGTTGCTTTGATTGTTAACACTTGCTTTAATAATAATAAAATAAACAGTATACATTTATATCCAATTTTTTTTTCTTAGCGTTGCATTTTAAAAAAAAATTTGCAACTTTTTTTCCAAAAATGCCCTTTCTTCATTTGTAAATAACTTAAAACTGACTCGTAATTTCAATGTTATAAATTGGTCAAACTACAATAAAAAAAGTATACTTTTATCTACAGTACCACTATTTGTTTTTGTGTTACACTTTTTTTCTATGGATTGCATAGAATAAAAGATTTTTTGCAAGACATTAATTGCCAAAATAACCTTGTTTGCCTCTAAAAAAACGGTAATACTTTGTTGTCTTTAGTGATGACAAATTCATCACTGAATAGTTAGGCTCATAGCAAAAATTTAAAAACTGCTCTGGTTCAGAAGTGTTATACATGCGTGAGATGTTTTTATTTTACACACATTCTTGCCCATTTGTTAGCCTATAATAAAAGACATCCAAGTAAGGTATTTATTTACAAAAAAAACAAAAAAGAAATTCTACAAAATACGAGGCCTATAAAAATGTTTTTAAAAAAAAGTCATTTATCGAGGTGGGAAAATGAGTCTTGGGAGTTATTCTCATGTTAACTGACATACTAACGCTACACGATTTTTCACATCTAAGCTTTAATAACCTATGGTCACAAAAGGGTTAATAGCTTAACAATTTCTCATTTAGGAGATTCTTGGGCAATTTTAGCCATTCAAGGATACTTCGCAAGATTAATCTCATGGGACTAATCTATTACAATCACCCAACAATCCCCTGCAGCAGTACAAAAGAGCTATTTTTGCACTAGCAGATTTTTTTTTTTTTTTCTCCGAGAGATTAAAAATGGCTTTTTGTGGTATGGAGCTCAGAATATGTGATTCCAGACGCAGGCCGCTTAGCTTTGATAACATTTACTGAACATATCTGGAGGTAAACTGAAGATACATTTCCTTGAGAGCAGGGACTGATGTGAATGTGCAGTATGTAGAGGGCTGTGTAAATCATTATTGCTATATAAAATAGCCGTAATAAATAAATACAAGGAGTTTTTTTGTCAGACTGCAGCGCATTGATTAATATCTTTAATATGCACATAATAGTACACTTTAAAACCAATCTCTCATGTGTGACACGTATGTGGATGTGGTCAATATCAAAAGGAAACAGATACGGGGGATACCCATGAGTTTGGACCCCTGGGCAATGCTATTTCATAAAAATGAGGTGGTCATTAATAAGCTATAAAAAAAAAAAATCTATTACGCCTCATCTGTTGAACTCTGCAAAATGGTTAAAAGGAGAACTATGAGGTGAGTGCTTTTCACTCACCTCATAGTTCTAGCCGACCTGTGACAATGAGACTGTCACAGGTCGGCTGAGTAGATCGGGAAGTGAGCAAACACATACCGGCGTTCGCTCACTTCTCGATCCTGTCACGGCCTTCTGCCGTGACAGGGGAGGGGCTGGATTCCCCCCTCCGATCCTCCAACGCTGACTGGCGGAACGGATGGGGCAGGTACAGCTGGCTCTGCCTCTAGATAGGCAGAGCCAGCTGTCACTCACGCAGCTGGGCGGATCCCGGCATAATTGTCGGGATCCGCTTCAGCTGTGGCGTCTCAGTATACTGCGAGCAGCAGCTCACGGTATACTGAGCATAGGGTGACGGGAGGACGCTAGTTTGTGTCCTCCCTTTACCCTTAGGAGAACTATGGGGAAAAGCCCTAACCCCATAGTTCTCCTTTAATCCCACTATACTGGAAACGCATAGAATCTGCCTCAATAAAAGAATGGTTCATCAAAATAAATAATATATGTTCTATGGAAGAAATGTTTTTTAGCAGTCAAAATAAACATTCAATCTTTTGTGAAATATGGCGGAGATGGTTTATACATAAGAACTCAGAAGCATATCTATCCGTAATGACTTCATACAATTGATGCCTTCTAAAAATGAACGAAATGTTAGTCTCCAGGAAAGGTAAATGATAATTATTATTTATTCACACCCCACTAGGGGTGTAACTGGAGAGATTGGCCATGTGCATATACAATTTGGTCTATGGATACCAAGTACAATATAGCGGTTAGATGGGATTAAAGCAATGTTTTGTTTTTGTGTGTCTGTCAGTTATGTAAAATGTGATACATTTTGATTATTGTTTGAAAAAATTAATAATTAAATATATAACAAATATCAAAAAGGAAAAGTAGACAGTTTAGTTTGTAAGGAAAATAATGATTTATTTATAACACTGTACCTCTACATTATGTGTAATTGTGAATACAAAAAAGGTATAAAACATCCATTATATCTTCACATTTCAAGCTGGAAATCAACCTATGAATTACAAATAAAATATGAATTCAAGTAAAATAGTAATTCACAGGGAACTGATACACCTCCAGAGGTGTCCCTTGCATAATAAGAGTTCAAAATAAAAACAAGCATTACAGAGAACATGATCTTCATTCACACTGGGCATGGAAAGGCACAATTCAAGTACAAGGTCAAATATTACAGATGTTTACAAACTGCTCAGATTTCTCCCAGATATAATGACACCTTCAGTGCATGCTGTAAATCACAGACAAGCAGCAATAGTTATAACAGCATATCAACTTTTACAGAAATATAAGCATATGGAATTTCAGAATCCACAATAAACTAAACATAAAAGGAAAAACAACCAGCGGACCGGACAGGCTTTCTATCCTCATCTTGGCTTTGCATTTTTTTTCTGACTGTAGAAAAAAAAATACCGATGACAGAATCTGTACAAAATAAAGGAAGCTGCAGCACAATGTTTTGTGGACAATACCACACAGGTCACTGCGATGGTTTGCTTCATTTGTGTGTGAAAAAAAAGTTCAACGATAGTGTGACCAATTGGAAAGAGACCCGCTGCTAGGTTATCGCCATGTACAACAATACAAAACAAAAAAGATCATAATTACATTTATGGATACAGCATGATTTTATTTTATGCATTTGTTTTCGGGTCTAAACTTACAACACTTTACTTTATAACCAATGACGTGAACTCCAACTAGAATATAACCAATTGTATTGTCATACAAACACATGTCAGGTGCTTGGATGAAGCATCCCACAATCAGAACTGTGAGGCTTCTAGAAATTGTATGGATAAGGCCAGCAGGATTCATTCAGCAGCAAAACAATAGAACATTAAGGTGGAACTCCAGTCAAACTGCTAAATATACAGGTAAAGCTCATTACCCCCTCCAAACCGCACTTTTTCTTTTTTACTCCCCTTGTTGCACCATCGGAGTCCCTCACCCACACAGTTTCTAGGTGCTGTGGACCAGTGCTGTGCTGGCTGGTCAATAACTGCGTACTAACGCTTACATCACAGACTCCTCTTCATCTAGACCTTGAGAGGACTCCGCCACTGGACATCCAATAATAGTCCTCCACGTCACACCGGCAGGGACCTCCTCCAATAAGAGTCCTCCGCCTCCTATAAACTTTCTGGGACTTGATTGCATGTAAAAAGGACATTTAGTTTTTTGTATTGCTTGCTAAAGAGAAAGAAAAAAAAATGTTTTACTGTAAAATCCCAATACTGGCCATAGAGAACTATAAATCCTGTGGCAGGTAAACAGTTCATTTATATTCAAACTGCATTAGATAATTTGTCAGAAGTTCATTTTCAAGGCACAAGTGGAAAAGTGGAGAAGGAGATGAACTAAAACTTTGATGAAATCAATGCACCCAGTCCTTGGGATCTCGCAGAACATTAAGAATCTCAGCTTCCCGTGACTCTGGAGGTGGGACATGATTGTACTCCCATCTGAGGAAAAACAAACAATTCAAGTTATTGCATGAAAACCACATTATGGAACCACGCTTCACTGTACTGAAGTCACATTAGTAACTCATTAGAATCTATATTAAAAGTAGAACTATGGTTGCCCATTACAAATATGTGTTGCAGCACTTAGGGCCTGTTCACACGACCTCTGTTTTGTGTGCTGACCTGATCCGCACGCTCCTGCACTCAAAATGCATCCCAGTGTATCCCTATGTGTTTTATGGGCTACAGTTCTCACGTGCGCAGTCCGTTCAGCTTACGACAGAAAAATACTGCATGGCACATTTTGTACGGTCAGGAAACGCAAACGCGTCCAAAACGCACTGCACTGCAGCTAACATACTAACAGCCGCACTCCAGCTGGAACGCATCAAAAACGTGGCCAAAACGCACTGCATCAGTAGCACCGCGTCTGCAGATCCGGACCTGAAACTCATGTGAACAGGCCCTTAAGGTGCACCTACACGTACAGTTTTCTCTTACACTCCATGTAAGTACCTGTCAATTCTGTCAGTGAAGTCCACCTAATGCAGCTTCCTGTGATCGAATGGCAACAATGCTACACTGCTCCTGGATTCAGAGCAGGGTTGCTCCTCTCATGTAGGTTAAGTCTGCTTGCAATAAAGTGGGAGGAGTAGATGTTGCACGGGGGCGAGGCTATCAGTATAGTCACTGCTGGTTCCCAAGCCTGTAGCTTGTCCATTACCTGGCCACACCTAGTTTTGGCCACTTCTTTCTGGATTGGCAGTGCTGCCTGTTGCTAAAACCCTCCCAATGTGAGCTGCAGTGTCTAGGAGCGGGGGCTTGTGAAACACAAATGAAAAGATTTGGCTCAATGAGGAAAAGTAAAGCAGGTTTTTGTGTATTTATAAGCTTTGTGCATCTCATGGTAAATGGATTTGGTACTAGATTACACTGTCATACAGGAGCCTTTAGTTGTCATCTAATAGCTGCGTGGTTGCACTGATAGGGCTACCTTAACTAAGAAAGGCTGGTAAAGAGTCAGAGTTGTGTTTGATGAATTTACCCGACGTGACCCGATCTTTTATATTTTACCAAAAAACTGGGTAATAATAAATGTTTCCTAACATAATGTTAAAAAAAACATTTTTTTCCAAAAACTTTTTTTTCCCCAAATTTTCTGTAATTTTTCCTAATTATAGTAAAAAATAAAAACCCCAGTGGTGATTAAATACCACCGAAATAACGCCCTATCTGTCCCCAAAAAATGGTATAAAATTCATTTCAGTACAGCGCTGCATGACGGAATAAACGTCAAAGTACAGTAAGGCTTGAATACTGAAAAATGGCCTGGTCAGGAAGGGGGTCTAAACACCTGGTCTTGAAGTGGTTAACAGAAGTAATACATTACAAAATCCTTACCTGGCAGTCAATGGCAGAGACATCAGAATACTCTCTATCCTGGAACCGGGAGTTGCAAGGCCAAACTTTGTACCTCTGTCATAGACGAGATTGAACTCCACATACCTAAGGTTAATAACATGATAACCAAAGACATTAAAAAGGACACTTTTTATTTTTATGAAACAGAAATTAGCAGCTCCCTACAAATTAAAAACAGGTAATTGTGCACCCAAACTCTGCAGAGCTGAACGATCTACGTTTGATGGATTGTACTCTCTCTCTCTCATCAGGGTCAGTGGAAGACCAGGCATTCAACACACTGAACTGTGTACTGGATACTAAAGATCTTTCAGCAAGTTTCTCTCTTTAGTGGAGCAGAGTTCAACAGAACAGGCAGAGGGACTGTTAAATATTAACAACTTCCTTTACAGGGAGCTGCTGGTCTCAGGGCACAATTTCAGCAATAATCTTTGGTCTTTATTTAGTATTCAGTGAGGGAGGGTTAGAACTCACATCAACTTAGATGGCAATGAAAATGTATGATTCTCTCACATTTTATAATGTGCTCAGAAAAAAATCT